GGGGGGGGGGGTGCAGATGGGAGATAATGGGAGAGTGGGAGGGGCATCCATCAGCCCATGCTAATGCTCATGTATTTAATTATTATTTTCACCCTAGTTAGAAATGTTTTATTATTATATATTTAATTAATGTTTTTTTTAATAATTTGGTTATTTATTTACATTTTACAATAAATAGTATTGTTGTTGTTGTTGTTGTTGTTGTTGTTGTATTGTAATTATAAATACTGTGTTTCCATTTTCTTTGTGGTTATTAGTCATAAATGTTGTTGTTGTTGTTGTTGTTGTTGTTGTTGTTGTTGTGATGTTTCTTCCTATGTCTCTTGATATTATGTTTGTTTATGTGTAAATGAATAGATCTGTAATCCACTAACAAATGATGTTATTACTTTAAATATTGTGTATCCCAGAGATGTGCTCATCATTTCTATGAAACACAGACATTTAGCTCGATATAAAAACCAGTGTTACAAATGAAGTATTACCCAAATACCTAGAGAGGCATCCCTAGAGAGGCATCCCTAGAGAGGCATCCCTAGAGAGGCATCCCTAGAGAGGCATCCCTAGAGAGGCATCCCTAGAGAGGCATCCCTAGAGAGGCATCCCTAGAGAGAAAGCATGTTATTTCATATCTGAAATGTTCTTTTCCTGCAGTGTGCATTCACATGTTTCACTGTCTTCAATAATGATATAGAATAACATTATTAAAGACAGTATAACATGTGAATCCTGCAGGGTGCACCTGTTTTACTGTCTTTAATAATGATATATTAACAGTATAACATGTGAAGCACCTGTTTTCTTGTCTTTAATGATGATATATTAACAGTATAACATGTGAAGCACCTGTTTTACTGTCTTTAATGATGATATATTAACAGTATAACATGTGAAGCACCTGTTTTCTTGTCTTTAATGATGATATATTAACAGTATAACATGTGAAGCACCTGTTTTACTGTCTTTAATGATGATATATTAACAGTATAACATGTGAAGCACCTGTTTTACTGTCTTTAATGATGATATATTAACAGTATAACATGTGAAGCACCTGTTTTCCTGTCTTTAATGATGATATATTAACAGTATAACATGTGAAGCACCTGTTTTCTTGTCTTTAATAATGATATATTAACAGTATAACATGTGAAGCACCTGTTTTCTTGTCTTTAATAATGATATATTAACAGTATAACATGTGAAGCACCTGTTTTCTTGTCTTTAATAATGATATATTAACAGTATAACATGTGAAGCACCTGTTTTACTGTCTTTAACAGTGATAGATATTTAGCTCCATGTCACAGGGGCAGATGGCCGGTTGTTGTCCCGCTGCTCAGGCTCACCTTTGCGGCTTCAGAGGCTCCATGACAGTCGGTATGAAGAATCTTTTCCAACTCGATCCTGGGGTTTGTCAGATGATAAAAATCCCTCTTTAGTTCATCCATAGAAATCTGCGGAAGCAGACTGTGTCTTGGAGCTCATTTAATGTAACGTACAGTCCATAATATCGCGTTTCCTGTGGATATAACTCACTTTCTATCCATATTATATGTTAAATAAAAGCTTTACAGTGTCTTCTTGTGATACATGTTGATTAAAAGTCCATATCTGGGTGTAAAAAGCCGATATTCCGCGGTATTCCTCGCTCTCTCTGTCTCGCTCGTCTGTACTTTATGAATTTTGTCCATCCCGCCGATTCTCTGAGCAGGCGGCCTCGCTCCTGATTGGTCAGAAACGGGGCTGTGGAAAGCGGAGTTGACGCTGATTGGTCGAGACGTGAGGAGCGGTTTGTGTTCGATTGGTCTGAAGTAGAAAGGGGCTGATTTCATTGGCCGGAGGGGGTTTGAGGAGGCGGGCTTTGTGTCAGACTGTACTGTCACCTTCTGCAGCTGAATGGGTCTTTTCATTAGGAGGGTGGTGGCTCAAAGTGGGGCGCGGGAGCCTTTTAGGGGCCTTTTAGGGGGCTTTAGGGGGTGCCCATCCACACATGATTTCACTGATTAATCCAGGCTCTAATTATGTCCCTGTAACCCATAGAGTTTAGATGCTATGTGACTATTAAACAGCATTTAATTGTAAAATAAAACTATATTTGGTGGGAATGTACACATATAATTGATTTGAGGAAAAGTAGAAATAGCATAATAAATCTCCTGGTTTTAAAATGCATTAAAAAATAAAAGTATAAACAAATAATTTTTGCAAAATAATTGAATAATTATCAAATTTAAATTACTTGTTGTGTACATTGGCTCCTTTTGTGGTGCTTTAGTGTTATAGTATAATACATCATGCTATTTGTATGGCTTATAAATACATGCAAGGTCATTTTGGTGCTGTAGTTCATCAATTTGGAGCCAATTTGAGACTTTCTATACTACCACATCAACTATGATTGCATCATCTTAATCATAGTTCACGACTTAGGCTTGCTATTGTCTTAACATGTGTACAAACGGTATATAAATGGTGTAAAAATAGGTTATAAATAGAATAATGTTTCCGAGTTAGGTCTTATGTATCGACAGTTCACTCTGTAGCTCATTAAACTGTGCTCTGCTGACACCTTGTGGACAAACCGTGCACATGCAGCCAGAATTACAATATTTACCTAATTGCTCTCATGTTACATAACTTGCATTTAATTTATTCATCCCAGTATTCCCAGTATTTATCATTAGAATAATGTTTTTAAATTATTAAACAGTCTATAATTTAATCTTATTTATATATTTGTATTTATTTTATTCAAGGCAATTAATTAAGTATTTAATGTTTTATAATAATGCCCATGACGCCTGTCTGCCTGTAGGGGTCGCTGTTTGACAGGTTAACTCCCGATGCTGTCATTCCACACTCTGGAGCTGTTTGTGGTAAAGAGAGCTACAACAACACCGGAAGCACTTACTGGGCTTTTCAAAAATAAAAGCACAGGTTTTGTCAATTCAAAAAATTACTTAGATATAAGTGTATTTTTATTTGTTAGAATAAGGGTAATTGCCAATAATTAACCTGCAAGTAAGTGTACGTGTTTTTAATTTATAAAATAAACAATAAGTATATTAAAAGGAGATAATAATATAAGAAAAGTACTGCAAAAGCTAAGATAATTACATTATAATATATATATGATTATTTATGAGTGTTTTAACATTATTTCCATGCTTGTTTTCATTTTTCCTGCTCGAAATAAATAAATAAAATACAAAAAGTGATTTTCCGTTGTTTTATTTTAAAACGTGCTACCGGAAGTGCTCCTGTGTATTGTGTCCGACCTGACGGTGTTGCAGTACTCAAGTCCCGTGACAAATTAGATCGGAACTTTTCTACAGGAGGACAGGCTGATGTTTCCTGCTTCTCTTTTCACAGCAACTAACAACAGAAAACTCGATAGGAGAGGATCCCTAAAGTCTCCGGACAGAAACTAGACCCGGGAACATGTTGGATTAGTTCCGGTTCTGGAGTGTGTGGACCGGATTCAGGGTCAGAAACAGAAAGGTACGTGATGTCCATCCGAAACACCTGGGGCTGCTGTTAGCTTAGCATTAGCCACACTTACAGTAGAGGTAAACAGCTGGGGGAAATAACTCTTGTCTTTTTAAATAACATTATTTACTTTAAGTTGACAATCCAGAGACTCAGAGCAAACTGTTGCTGTTCTCTTCAACAGGTTTTATTACACATATATAAATATATATTGGGAGAAATGCCAATCAGTGGGAAAAAAAACAATTTTTAGGTCATTATTGAGTCTTTTTAATGTAATAATGTCTTTTTCAGCCTCTTAAATAATGACTCTTATATCCTTGTTGTATATTATATTAAAGTGAATATTTTCTGACAAAAACAAGACATTTAAAAGACTTTGAGAAACTGGGTTGTCCAATATTTTCCTATTTCAGACACACACACACACACACACACACACACACACACACACACACACACACACACACACACACACAGTGTGTGTGTACAGATTAGGGCTGCACGATATATCGTGTCGTGACGATAATCGCGATATTCACATCGCAGGAAGCGATTTTTTAAAATATTTATTTAAAAAAAATTGTTATTATTGTTTTTTTTTAGGACGTGCGATATTAAGTAGGTAAATTAACTCAAACACGTCATGTTACAATACTTTTGCTGCTTGCTACAAAAGGAAAGCTCTCATGTCAGGGGCACTTGAGTGAGTGACATGCCGGCTCTGCGTGCACAGCAAACCACCAATCACAATCAAATCTCCAAAACAAACGGACCCGGTGATTAAAGGTAAAAACACTGAATAAAGTAGTTTCATGTGTTTCTCCAGGGCAGTTCGGCGCTGCTAACCGAGCTAGCTCAGCGTGTTGCTCTGATAACTTAAAGTGGACCTATCATGCTATATTATAATAATATAGTGTAGGACCATACCTATATAAGGCATATTTATACTTTTTTTTTTCTAAATACCAAACAGATCATGCATTTTAGCCATGCCTCATTTCGCTCTATTTGACATTTTTTTAGCTCTGTTTGTGCAAGGGCAGATTCAGTGAGAACAGCACCACCTACAGGCCTGGCATATGTACTACAGCGTCTCCAGCACTTTCGAACGGCAATGGCCGGGGCTGTCTCCTACTGATTGGTGGAGTTGGCCCAATAGCCGTAGCGCCACCGTCCTGACGTCAGGACAGTGTTCAAATCTGGATCAGTTTTTATCAGATCCGTTGCAGCCCCTTTTTTAGAGATTTGGGTATGGAGGAAAATAGAGAGGGTTGTGTTTTCTGACACTTGGTGAGTTCCCTGGAACACCGGGGACACATATTCATGTAGAAAAGACGTACACAAGGGCATTTTGCATGATAGGTCCCCTTTAAGATCCAGACGTCCGTGACTAAAATCCTTCATCCATTTAAATATAGTTAAAAAAATACCAATTGTATAGCATTAAAGTTCAAGAAAGGATGGTTTGCGGACAAAAAAAGCGGCCTTTTCTTCAATTCTTGTATTTTTTTATATCGCAGGAGAAGAAAATATCGCAATGTCAGTTTTTTCCAATATCGTGCTCCTAGTACAGATGCTGAGGGGGGGGGGGGGGGGGCACTGAGTTCACCCCCTCTCACTTCTGCAGCTGCACTTCCTCTAACACACACATCTGACCACCACTGCTGTGTGTGTGTGTGTGTGTGTGTGTGTGTGTGTGTGTGTGTGTGTGTGTGTGTGTGTGTGTGTGTGTGTGTGTGTGTGTGTGTGTGTGTGTGTGTGTGTGTGTGTGTGTGTGTGTGTGTGTGTGTGTGTGTGTGTGTGTGTGTGTGTGTGTGTGTGTGTGTGTGTGTGTGTGTGTGTGTGTGTGTGTGTGTGTGTGTGTGTGTCAGCACAAGTTAATTCATGCCGAGGCAGAAACTGCGTCTGGGTAAAATGTGCTTAACATGATACTTTCTTCTTCTCTGACTCGTTAAGCTTCATTACGTGTAGATGATAGAATATAAAGCTTTAACATCTTCAAAAACATATTGGACTTTTTTGGGGAAACAAACTCGGAAATGTGCTTAAAGAGAATATCGTTCCTCCTAGTTTTCTATCCTTTTTACAAACTCTGAGTGTGTGTGAGACTCTGTATGTGAGAGTGTGTGAGGGTTTATGTGAGACTCTGTGTGTGAGAGTGTGTGTGTGTGAGGGTGTGTGAGGGTGTGTGTGTGTGAGACTGTGTGTGAGAGTGTGTGTGAGACTCTGTGAGTGAGGGTGTGTGTGAGTTGCAGCATTCCTCCTGGAGGAGTAGCACCGTCAGCTGGATTAGAAACTCTCTCAGACTTCACGGTGATTCAGCTGAACTATGTGAGGAATGTTAAAAAGCTGGTCGGACTCATGACGTCAGATAACCAGGAACAGGTGTGTGTGTGTCGGGGAAAACCTGTGTGTTGAACTGAAATAACCAGACACACACACACACACACACACACACACACACACACACACACACACACACACACACACACCTGGCGTGTTCCTGTTAGTGAAGAGGGGTTGTTTGAATGAAAGTGAGTTTAAAGCAGAAGCCGTGTGTCTATGTACTTTATTAGGTTAAAAAACATGTTTTAATTGTATTTATAGTTTCTTTATGCTCTGGGTTTAACTCATCAGTCATCTGCAGGTACTCCAGAGAAACATTCTTTAGTTTTATTTATTTTATTTTTATTTTTATTTTTATTTTAATTTATTTATTTTTTGCTCTTTTTGTCATTTCACAGTACAGGTACTATGTAACGAAATGGTTCCTCTGCATTTGACCCATCCTAGTGTTAGGAGCAGTGTGCTGCCGTGGACGGCGCCCGGGGAGCAGTGTAGGGAACGGTGCCTTGCTCAGGGACACCTCGGTAGCACTTGGTCTTGCCGGGACTCGAACCGGTGACCTTCCAGTTGCCAAGTCCCTATCCACTTCGCCACCACCGCCCTGAAGTTAGTTTATCATCACACGAAACACTCTGTGTCTCTGTGAAAGAGAAAGCAGAGGATGTGAAGTGAACACACACACACACACACACACACACACACACACACACACACACACACACACACACACACACACACACACACACACACACACACACACACACACACACACACACACACACACACACACACACACACACACCATCCAGGATGCGTTCAGGGTCAGGAACACACAGTGGGAGAAAGTAGAGCTGGTTCTGTTTCTGTGAACAAACAGAAGAGAGAGAGGGGAGAACAACACAAAGGACGAGTCACAGTGAGACAAAGAGCTTCAGAGAGGTGTGTGTGTGTGTGTGTGTGTGTGTGTGTGTGTGTGTGTGTGTGTGTGTGTGTGTGTGTGTGTGTGTGTGTGTGTGTGTGTGTGTGTGTGTGTGTGTGTGTGTGTGTGTGTGTGTGTGTGTGTGTGTGTGTGTGTGTGTGTGTGTGTGTGTGTGTGTGTGTGTGTGTGTGTGTGTGTGTGTGTGTGTGTGTGTGTGTGTGTGTGTGTGGGTGAAGAGTGTGTGTGCGTGCTAAAGAGGATGTGCACTCACACACACACTCACTCACTCACACACACACACACTCACACACACACACACACACACTCACACACACACTTCTTCTCCCTGCTCCTCTTCAGGTGTGTTTCTAGAGAACGCCACACATCCAGGAATCTGCTGAATTATGACTTTCTGTCCATCAGGGATATTCAGTTAGTTTGGAATGGGGCCGGTTGATGAAAATGATCCAAAGCGAGGGGCCGGGGAAAAGATGGCTCTTAATATGAGCAATCATATTTAAGAGCTTCAGATACAGTAAATACTACAACAGCATAGTGGAGTGCATATATTGTGTTTAATTCAATCAAACAACATAGCCCCGAGGCCTTTCTAGATCTAAATGGCTCAGAACTCAGTCGGCCTACACGTGAAGCTGCTTTCAACATCATTTCATTTGATTTCATTTAGGTGAAATGATCTAATCATTCACGCAGAGATGCAATCAATGACAGGAGTTGTCACTACAGTAGCTAGTAGGTGGGTTCGAAACCCGAGCCCGCCGAAGTTTTCAGGCAATGTCTTCCCCTCTATCTCTCAATGTAACACCCTCTATCTCTCAATGTAACACCCTCTATCTCTCAATGTAACACCCTCTATCTCTCAACGTAACACCCTCTATCTCTCAATGTAACACCCTCTATCTCTCAACGTAACACCCTCTATCTCTCAATGTAACACCCTCTATCTCTCAATGTCTTCCCCTCTATCTCTCAACGTAACACCCTCTATCTCTCAATGTAACACCCTCTATCTCTCAATGTAACACCCTCTATCTCTCAATGTCTTCCCCTCTATCTCTCAATGTAACACCCTCTATCTCTCAATGTAACACCCTCTATCTCTCAACGTAACACCCTCTATCTCTCAATGTAACACCCTCTATCTCTCAACGTAACACCCTCTATCTCTCAACGTAACACCCTCTATCTCTCAACGTAACACCCTCTATCTCTCAACGTAACACCCTCTATCTCTCAATGTAACACCCTCTATCTCTCAACGTAACACACTCTATCTCTCAACGTAACACCCTCTATCTCTCAACGTAACACCCTCTATCTCTCAACGTAACACCCTCTATCTCTCAATGTAACACCCTCTATCTCTCAATGTAACACCCTCTATCTCTCAACGTAACACCCTCTATCTCTCAACGTAACACCCTCTATCTCTCAACGTAACACCCTCTATCTCTCAACGTAACACCCTCTATCTCTCAACGTAACACCCTCTATCTCTCAACGTAACACCCTCTATCTCTCAATGTAACACCCTCTATCTCTCAATGTAACACCCTCTATCTCTCAATGTAACACCCTCTATCTCTCAATGTAACACCCTCTATCTCTCAACGTAACACCCTCTATCTCTCAACGTAACACCCTCTATCTCTCAATGTCTTCCCCTCTATCTCTCAACGTAACACCCTCTATCTCTCAACGTAACACCCTCTATCTCTCAATGTCTTCCCCTCTATCTCTCAATGTCTTCCCCTCTATCTCTCAATGTAACACCCTCTATCTCTCAATGTAACACACTCTATCTCTCAATGTAACACCCTCTATCTCTCAATGTCTTCCCCTCTATCTCTCAACGTAACACCCTCTATCTCTCAATGTAACACACTCTATCTCTCAATGTAACACCCTCTATCTCAATGTCTTCCCCTCTATCTCTCAACGTAACACCCTCTATCTCTCAATGTAACACCCTCTATCTCTCAACGTAACACCCTCTATCTCTCAACGTAACACCCTCTATCTCTCAACGTAACACCCTCTATCTCTCAATGTAACACCCTCTATCTCTCAATGTAACACCCTCTATCTCTCAATGTCTTCCCCTCTATCTCTCAACGTAACACCCTCTATCTCTCAATGTCTTCCCCTCTATCTCTCAATGTCTTCCCCTCTATCTCTCAATGTAACACCCTCTATCTCTCAATGTCTTCCCCTCTATCTCTCAACGTAACACCCTCTATCTCTCAATGTCTTCCCCTCTATCTCTCAATGTCTTCCCCTCTATCTCTCAATGTCTTCCCCTCTATCTCTCAATGTAACACCCTCTATCTCTCAATGTAACACCCTCTATCTCTCAATGTCTTCCCCTCTATCTCTCAATGTAACACCCTCTATCTCTCAATGTAACACCCTCTATCTCTCAACGTAACACCCTCTCTGGAATAAAGGCACTCTGGCCCAAAAATTTAAAAAAAAATATATCTTAAATAATTTTTTTAACTTTTTAACATTATACTCAAAGGGCCAGTAAATATCACCCCGGGGCCTGATGTGGCCCTCGGGCCGCCAATTGAATAGCCCTGATGTACATGTTCCTTTCTCTGTTCTGCAGAACCAAGATGACGAGGAGGTTCTTCTCCTGGTTCTCAGTCTGAGGAGGAGGGTCTCTCCTGGTTCTCAGTCTGAGGAGGAGGGTCTCTCCTGGTTCTCAGTCTGAGGAGGAGGGTCTCTTCGCTCTGATCCAACATGGAGGATCAGCCGAGCCTCCCCAACGTCAGCATCCCGTGCCACGATGAGCAGAGGGACAAGAAGAAGCGCTTCACGGTAACAGCACACTCTCTGCAGGGTTCAACAAGTGTCCTCCGGCTGGCAGAGGACTCACTTCAACTCAAACAACAATCCATTCCTCACACACTTCATGTCTCATATCCTCATCTTATGAGCAATCTGCTTCTAGGATGCTTCCTCTGAACACCGTTAAAGGAGAGACACTGTAAGAAAGGAGTACATATATGTTTCTGCACAAATCTACCACTTCTAATAAACTCACACATTTTGATATCACGATATAGACAGGGACAGTGTGACAGAGGAAGTGACACAAATAATAATAATATAGAATAAATAAACAAGAAAAGCAGACATTAGTAATAAAATGAGTGTGTGGAGCGTGTGGAGTGTGTAGAGTGTGTAGAGTGTGTAGAGTGTGTAGAGTGTGTAGAGTGTGTAGAGTGTGTAGAGTGTGTAGAGTGTGTAGAGTGTGTGGAGCACGTGGAGCGGAGCACGTGGAGCGGAGCGCGTGGAGTGTGTGGAGCGGAGTGTGTGGAGCGTGTGGAGCGTGTGGAGCGCGTGGAGCGCGTGGAGTGTGGAGCGCGTGGACCGCGTGGAGTGTGGAGCGCGTGGAGCGCGTGGAGTGTGGAGCGCGTGGAGCGCGTGGACCGCGTGGAGCGCGTGGAGCGTGTGGAGCGCGTGGAGTGTGGAGTGTGGGGAGCGCGTGGAGTGTGGAGCGCGTGGAGTGTGGAGTGTGGAGTGCGTGGAGTGTGTGGAGCGTGTGGAGCGTGTGGAGTGTGGAGCGTGTGGAGTGTGGAGCGTGTGGAGTGTGTGGAGCGGAGTGTGTGGAGCGCGTGGAGTGTGGAGCGCGTGGACCGCGTGGAGTGTGTGGAGTGTGTGGAGCGCGTGGAGCGTGTGGAGCGTGTGGAGTGTGGGGAGTGCGTGGAGTGTGGAGTGTGGAGTGCGTGGAGCGCGTGGAGTGTGGAGTGTGGAGTGCGTGGAGTGTGGAGAGTGTGGAGAGTGTGGAGAGTGTGGAGAGTGTGGAGAGTGTGGAGAGTGTGGAGAGTGTGGAGAGTGTGGAGAGTGTGGAGTGCGTGGAGTGCGGAGCGTGTGCAGCGTGTGGAGTGTGGAGCGTGTGGAGCGTGTGGAGTGTGTGGAGCGCGGAGTGTGTGGAGCGCGGAGTGTGGAGTGTGGAGCGTGTGGAGTGTGTGGAGTGCGTGGAGTGTGTGGAGTGCGTGGAGCGCGTGGAGCGCGTGGAGCGCGTGGAGCGTGTGGAGTGCGTGGAGTGTGTGGAGCGCGTGGAGTGTGGAGTGTGTGGAGTGCGTGGAGTGTGGAGTGTGTGGACCGCGTGGAGTGTGGAGTGTGGAGTGTGGTGCGTGGAGTGTGGAGTGCGTGGACCGCGTGGAGTGTGGACCGCGTGGAGTGTGGAGTGTGTGGAGCGCGTGGAGCGCGTGTGGAGCGCGTGGAGTGTGTGGAGTGTGTGGAGTGGGTGGAGTGGGTGGAGTGCGTGGAGTGTGTGGAGCGCGTGGAGTGTGGAGTGTGGGGAGTGCGTGGAGTGTGGAGTGCGTGGAGTGTGGAGTGCGTGGAGTGCGTGGAGCGCGTGGAGTGTGGAGTGTGGAGCGTGTGGAGCGTGTGGAGTGTGGAGCGTGTGGAGTGCGTGGAGTGCGTGGAGCGTGGAGTGTGGAGTGTGGAGCGCGTGGAGTGTGTGGAGCGCGTGGAGTGTGTGGAGTGCGTGGAGTGTGGAGTGTGTGTGGAGTGTGGAGTGTGTGGACCGCGTGGAGTGTGGAGCGCGTGGACCGCGTGGAGTGTGGAGTGCGTGGACCGTGTGGAGCGCGTGTGGAGCGCGTGGAGTGTGTGGAGTGTGTGGAGTGTGTGGAGCGTGTGGACCGCGTGGAGTGTGGAGTGCGTGGAGTGTGGAGCGCGTGGAGAGCGCGGAGTGTGTGGAGCGTGTGGACCGCGTGGAGTGTGGAGTGCGTGGAGTGCGTGGAGTGCGTGGAGCGCGTGGAGCGCGTGGAGCGCGTGGAGCGTGTGGAGCGTGGAGTGCGTGGAGTGCGTGGAGTGCGTGGAGCGTGGAGTGTGGAGTGTGGAGTGGAGTGTGTGGAGCGCGTGGAGTGTGGAGTGCGTGGAGTGTGGAGTGTGTGTGGAGTGTGGACCGCGTGGAGTGTGGAGCGCGTGGAGTGTGGTGCGTGGAGTGTGGAGTGCGTGGACCGCGTGGAGTGTGGAGCGCGTGGACCGCGTGGAGTGTGGAGTGCGTGGACCGCGTGGAGTGTGGAGTGTGTGGAGCGCGTGGAGTGTGTGGAGTGTGTGGAGCGTGTGGACCGCGTGGAGTGTGGAGTGTGGAGCGTGTGGAGAGCGCGGAGTGTGTGGAGTGTGTGGAGCGTGTGGACCGCGTGGAGTGTGGAGTGCGTGGAGTGTGGAGCGCGTGGAGAGCGCGGAGTGTGTGGAGTGTGTGGAGCGTGTGGACCGCGTGGAGTGTGGAGCGCGTGGAGAGCGCGGAGTGTGTGGAGTGTGTGGAGTGTGTGGAGCGCGTGGAGTGTGGAGTGCGTGGAGTGCGTGGAGTGTGGAGTGTGTGGAGCGCGTGGAGTGTGGAGTGCGTGGAGTGTGTGGAGCGCGTGGAGTGTGGAGTGTGTGGAGCGTGTGGAGTGTGGAGTGTGGAGTGTGTGGAGCGCGTGGAGTGTGGGAGTGTGTGGAGTGTGTGGAGCGCGTGGAGCGCGTGGAGCGCGTGGACCGCGTGGAGTGTGGAGCGCGTGGAGTGTGGAGTGTGGACCGCGTGGACCGCGTGGAGTGTGGACCGCGTGGAGCGCGTGGAGTGTGTGGAGCGCGTGGAGTGTGTGGAGTGTGGAGCGCGTGGAGCGCGTGGAGCGTGTGGAGTGTGTGGAGTGTGTGGAGCGCGTGGACCGCGTGGAGTGTGGAGCGCGTGGAGCGCGTGGAGTGTGTGGAGTGGGTGGAGTGGGTGGAGTGTGTGGAGCGCGTGGAGCGCGTGGAGCGCGTGGACCGCGTGGAGTGTGGCCCGCGTGGACCGCGTGGAGTGTGTGGAGCGCGTGGAGTGTGTGGAGCGCGTGGAGTGTGGAGTGCGTGGAGTGTGGAGCGTGTGGAGCGCGTGGAGTGTGGAGTGCGTGGAGTGTGGAGCGCGTGGAGTGTGGAGTGTGTGGAGCGCGTGTGGAGCGCGTGGAGTGTGTGGAGTGGGTGGAGTGTGGAGTGTGTGGAGTGTGGAGTGTGTGGAGCGCGTGGACCGCGTGGAGTGTGGAGTGCGTGGAGTGTGGAGTGCGTGGACCGCGTGGAGTGTGGAGTGCGTGGACCGCGTGGAGTGTGGAGCGCGTGGAGCGCGTGGAGTGGGTGGAGTGTGTGGAGCGTGTGGAGCGCGTGGAGCGTGTGGAGTGTGGAGTGCGTGGAGCGCGTGGAGAGCGCGGAGTGTGTGGAGTGTGTGGAGCGCGTGGAGCGTGTGGAGTGTGGACCGCGTGTGGAGTGTGGAGCGCGTGGAGAGCGCGGAGTGTGTGGAGCGCGTGGAGCGTGTTCTGATCTTCTTTGTTTTTAACCCCTAGGTGTACAAAGTGATCGTGAACGTGGGGCAGCAGGAGTGGTTCGTGTTCAGACGCTACGCTGAGTTTGATAAACTCTACAACACAGTGAGGGACACACACACACACACACACACACACACACACACACACACACACACACACACTATAATTAAAGTCTCGTGAACACAGCTCTGACATCACTTCCTGTCTCTCATTCAGTTACGGAAACAGTTTCCTGCTATGAACTTGAAAATTCCCGCCAAGAGGATTTTTGGGGACAATTTTGAACCTGGTGAGTCTCAAACTGCTGACTCACTGCACGCGCTTTACAACTGCAACTATAGGGCGAATAAGGCATGAAACATACCATCATACAACATTACAAACTGTGGATTTCGTCGTCTAACCTGATAATAAACTCGTCAAGTACAAGAAATGTGTTAAAAATCAGTTTCCAGCTTTTCTGTTTGATATCATGTTAAAGTTCATGCATTTTAAGACAAAACCTTCAACTTTGAGAAACCAGATGCACATTTTTCAACATTTGTTGACCCTTTATAGACCAATTTATATATTTATCTAGAATGTATTCATCGTTAAAGAAGTAATTGTAAATTGCAGCTCTAACGTGCACCAGGAAATAATCCAAGAACCCGATGTTTAAGATAAAAAACGTGTATTTTGTGTATTTCGTCCTCTATTCTGATAATAAAGTAGTCATTCAAATCAGTTTCTAGCCTCTCTAGAGATTCTCTGTTTGATATCATGTTCAATTGAATATATGTTAAAACTGACAAAACAAGACATTTGAAGACATTTTTAATATACCTTAATCTAGAAAATAATCTGCAGATTGATCATTAATCACACGTTGCACCTCTAACATGCAAAGTGCCTGCTGTGTTTGGGCTTTTTGGGATGAACTCATATCTGAATGTTCTGCAGAGTTTATAAAGCAGAGACGAGCCGGGCTGCACGAGTTCATCGAGAGGATCGTCTCTCAGCTCTGCAACCAGTGAGTCTCATATGAAATATCTAATGTTATCACCAGCGAGGCCTTCAGGGAACAGATGGAGATGATTCTGTTGCTTTCTCTCCAGGCCAGATGTGAGGGAGTTTCTGCTGATGGACAAAATGCAGCACTTTTCTGACGCCTCGGAGGACGAAGACGACCGAGTGAGTCACTTTCTAACCTCTTTAGATCAATAACTTTAAAGCAGTCTGAATCTAGTCTAGAAATGCAGATAGAAATGAAGGAAATCACCTGAAAGAAAGCCCTTTCACCGCTACCCTACGTGTATCATCTGGGTAACCCTAACCCAAAACTAGACGTCTACAAGGACACAGGAAAGGACCCGAAAGAAACACTGATCGACCGTTGAGACTCAAAAGGACCACACTAAGACTCAAACTGTCGAAGAGACACAGAATATCCAGAGAGACACAGAATATCCAGAGAGACAAAGAATATCCAGAGAGACAAAGAATATCCAGAGACACAGAATATCCAGAGAGACACAGAATATCCAGAGAGACACAGAATATCCAAAAAGAGACAGAATATCCAAAGAGAGACACAGAATATCCAGAGAGACACAGAATATCCAAAGAGAGACAAAGAATATCCAGAGAGACAAAGAATATCCAGAGAGACACAGAATATCCAGAGAGACAGAATATCCAGAGAGACACAGAATATCCAGAGAGACAGAATATCCAGAGAGACAGAATATCCAGAGACACAGAATATCCAGAGAGACACAGAATATCCAGAGAGACAGAATATCCAGAGACACAGAATATCCAGAGAGACAGAATATCCAGAGACACAGAATATCCAGAGAGACAGAATATCCAGAGAGACAGAATATCCAGAGACACAGAATATCCAGAGAGACAGAATATCCAAAAAGACACAAAGCATTGAAAAACTACCAAAACTAGACAGCAAGGACACAGGAAACGACCTCAAAGAGACGCAAGCCTCCAAACGACTACAAAGACACAGGGAAGGACCTGTCCTCTCATTTGTTGCTAGAAGGTTGTTTTTAAGGAGACATTGTGTTAAACATGAACTCATGTCTGCAGAAACGTATGAGAACAAACTCATCTCTGTTATCTCCTTGTTTTCAGAGCAACTCTACCTCCAGAAACATTAACCTGGGACCCTCTGGAAACCCTCAGTGAGTCACTCTCTATCTACACTCACTGATAACGTCTATATCTATGCACTCTTTCCTAATGCACAACAGCTATCTAATATGTACTGAAATACACGTCTAACACCTAATGTGTACATATATTTCTATTTGTACATAATGTGTTTTCTTTTTGTGTTTCAGAGCCAAGCCCACAGACTTTGACTTTCTGAAAGTCATAGGAAAGGGGAGTTTTGGGAAGGTATGTGAATATAGAAAGCACTCTCTGTGTAGAGTAAATACATATATATATATAAACTGTATCTACACTGCGATGTACAGAATGCACTTTATTGATATGTCTTTTATCTGCTCTGTCTCTTTTCCTCTTTCTGATTCTGTAAGCATCCTAAATGTAGTGTTATCCTCTAGAAAGCACGTTTTATAATATCTTTGCTCAAACGTGATGTCTGACATGTTTTTGAGTCACTTCAGTTTTCTGTGTGGTCGCATCAGTTTGAGTTCTCTGTGTGTCGGGGTGTTCCCACGCAGGAAGTGAGCTTCTGGTTAACGCGCTTCTCGTTAACGAGCTTCTGGTTAACGAGCCTCTGGTTAACGAGCTTCTGGTTAACGAGCTTCTGGTTAACGCGCTTCTGGTTAACGCGCTTCTGGTTAACGAGCTTCTGGTTAACGCGCTTCTGGTTAACGAGCTTCTGGTTAACGAGCTTCTGGTTAACGAGCTTCTGGTTAACGAGCTTCTGGTTAACGCGCTTCTCGTTAACGAGCTTCTGGTTAACGAGCTTCTGGTTAACGCGCTTCTCGTTAACGAGCTTCTCGTTAACGAGAAGCTCGTTAACGAGAAGCGCGTTAACGAGCTTTCTGGTTAACGCGCTTCTGGTTAACGCGCTTCTGGTTAACGCGCTTCTGGTTAACGCGCTTCTGGTTAACGAGCTTCTGGTTAACGCGCTTCTGGTTAACGAGCTTCTGGTTAACGAGCTTCTGGTTAACGAGCTTCTGGTTAACGAGCTTCTGGTTAACGCGCTTCTCGTTAACGAGCTTCTGGTTAACGAGCTTCTGGTTAACGCGCTTCTCGTTAACGAGCTTCTCGTTAACGAGAAGCTCGTTAACGAGAAGCGCGTTAACGAGCTTCTGGTTAACGCGCTTCTCGTTAACGCACTTCTCTTCACGCAGGTGTTCCTCGCTAAACGAAAGCACGACGAGAAGTTCTACGCAGTCAAAGTGTTACAGAAGAAGGTCATCCTCAACAGGAAAGAGGTAACTCTAACTCTCAACAGGAAAGAGGTAACTCTAACCCTAACCCATCCTCAACAGGAAAGAGGTAACTCTAACCCTAACCCTCAACAGGAAAGAGGTAACTCTAACCCTAACCCATCCTCAACAGGAAAGAGGTAACTCTAACCCTAACCCATCCTCAACAGGAAAGAGGTAACTCACATTTCATAATATCTGTGGAGGAAACTCTTCAGAGAAATGATTCATGGACAAAGTGTGTCTTTTGTTATATTTAATAAAGAAAGTCAATATGAAGTGAAATGGATCTGAAATGCAGGAACAGAGCAGCTTCAGAGTATCAGACTATTTGTTGTAAATGATTATATGATAATAATAATATTATCAATGACCTCTGCTCTCCAATCAGCAAAAGCACATCATGGCGGAGCGCAACGTGCTTCTGAAGAACGTGAAACATCCCTTCCTGGTTGGACTTCATTATTCCTTCCAGACCGCGGACAAGCTCTACTTCGTGCTGGACTTTGTGAACGGAGGAGAAGTGAGTCTTTCTGTCACACAGAGTCATCGGGTTAGAAAGAGCTGAGAGAGGAAACAGGAAGTGAGTCTTTCTGTCATACAGAGTCATCGGGTTAGAAAGAGCTGAGAGAGGAAACAGGAAGTGAGTCTTTCTGTCACACAGAGTCATCGGGTTAGAAAGAGCTGAGAGAGGAAACAGGAAGTGATGCGTCAGACGTGGCGTAATGTGTGAACCCTCCCTGAGAGACTCAGACTCTGAGTGACTGTGATCCAGGTCAGCGCTTATCCTGGTGATATAGTGTTCAACATGTTAAAGCCGCCATTAGCCTTAGTTTGAAGGAATTGCTCACATATTTTGTAGTAGAAATATCACAAAACAACCAGAAAGAGACAGAAGTGGCCCGAAACGTCCTGAAAGAGACATTACACGACCATTTAGTGAAAAACAACCAAATCAAGCCTCAAAACGTCTACAAGGACACAGGAAATGACCAAAAAGAGACTGAAAATGTCCACGAAAAGACGCAAAATAATCTAAAACAGGCCTAAAAGAGACGCTATTTGACCATTAAGGCACAGAAAGACCACAGTAAGCCTCAAAATGTCTATGAAGAGAAACAGAATATCCAAAAAGAGACACAAAGCATTGCCATACAACCAAAACTAGACTCAAAACGTCTACAAGGACACAGGAAATAACCAAAAAGAGACCCAAAACGTCCATGAGAACTCACAAAATAATTTAAAAGAGGCCCGAAACGTCCTATAAGAAACGCTAATCGACCATTAAGGCACAAAATGACAAAAAAGAGACACAAAGCATTGAAAATAGAGATGTCCCGATCCGATCACGTGATCGGGGATCGGAGCCGATCACGTGATTTTCAAAAGATCGGAATCAGGAGAAAAAAATCGGGGATCGGAATTCTTTTTTTTTTTTTTTATATAATTTTTTTTTTTTTTTTTATAATTTTTTTTTTTTAATTTAATGTTACAAAACAAAAATGACCATGTTCACGTCTTAAAGTCATCCTGAGGCCTTAGTTTTGGTTTAAAATTACACAACATCATGTATGTGTTGCTTCTTTTGGGCTTGTTTTCATCGACCTGGGTTGCTTATTTCTCTCAACTCTGGCAACAGAGTGGGCGGCAGTGTCTATATAGTAGGCAGTAAGCTAACGAGAGGCTACGTTCAGCTGTGTTGTAATCGAGAGGCTACGTCAGCTGGTTGTAACGAGAGGCTACGTTCAGCCTGGTGTCACGAGAGGCTATCGTTTCAGCCGGTGTATCCTCCCGAGACGGCTACCGTCAGCCGGTGTAACGAGAGGCTACGTTCAAGCCGGTGTCACGATGAGGCTACGTGTCGTAGCACGGTTCGTCCCGAGAGGCTACGGTTTCACCGGTGTCACGAGAGGCTACGTTCAGCCGGGCTCTGTAACGAGAGGCCTACGTTCCAGCCGGTGAAACGAGAGGCTACGATTCAGCCGGTGGTCACCGAGAAGGCTACGTTCAGCCGGTGTAACGAGAGGCTACGTTCAGCCGGTGTAACGAGAGGGCTACGTCTTCAGCCGGTGTAACCACGAAGGCCTACGTTCCGCCGGTGTAACGAGAGGCTACGTTCAGCCGGTGTAACGAGAGGCTACGTTCAGCTGGTGCCTCGGGAGTCGGGACAGAGAAAATGTCAGGAGTTTGGAAGTATTATAAAATTGAAAGCGAAGGCAGTGTAACAGCCAGATGCAATGTTTGCAAGGCGGAGGTTCCGCGTGGTGGAAAGAACAGAGCTACGTTCAACACGACCAATCTAATACGCCACCTGAGAAACAAACACCAACAACAACACGACGAGTACACAGCGGCCACTCAGGTAACGGCACTGAAACAACCGACACTTTCAGAGACTTTTAAAAGGAAAGAGAAACTGCCCCAGAACAGTGAAAAGGCCAAAAAAACAACAGCCAAGATAGCTGAATTCATCGCGTTGGATGACCAGCCGTTATCTGTGGTGGAGAACGTGGGGTTTAAGGGACAACTTGAATGCTTTTCTCCTTTTTTTTTCTCTTAATGCATTGCATAAAGATCGGATCGGGAAAAATCGGTATCAGCAGATTGTCAAAATCAAATGATCGGAATCGGATCGGGAGCAAAAAAAGGTGATCGGGACATCCCTAATTGAAAAACAACCAAAACAAGCCTCAAAACGTCTACAAAGACACAGGAAATGACCAAAAAGAGACACAATATGTCCACGAAAAGACGCAAATAATCTAAAAGAGACACAAAGCATTGCCATACGTTTTAAATGCCTCGCTCAGAGACAACTCTGACTAACTGTGAATGAAATCAGTTAAATGCAAAGTGAAACGACCCTTGTTAGCGCACGTTGTACTCTTTCCTGTTGATAGTGTTCAAAATGTTAAAGCACACCATTAGCATTAGTTTGAAGGAATACTGATGTATTTGATAAACTCACAAAACAACTAGAAAGAGGCCTGAAACGTCCTGAAAGAGACACTAATCCACCATTAAGGCACAACAAGACCGCACTAAGCCTCAACCATGATTATGCACATGGCGGTATATGCAACATTTAAAGCCGTACATTTACCAGATTTCATATTTAAATCTCCAGAAAAGGTCAAATATTCTGGGAGAAAAAACTCAAATGTTCAGAACTCAAAAAGCAGAGACAACGTCGTACAGAACTGGTCGATTATCAAGATTTCTTTGACTTGATTTGAGACAATAAACACATGTTTTGGGGGTCAACGTGCCTCTTCTATCTCAGATCTGTCTATGTCTGTAATCTCAGGTGTTTGTTGACTTCCTGTCACTAATCGAACTCCTCTCCTTCCTCTCCTTCCTCTCAGCTGTTCTTCCATCTCCAAAAGGAGAGAACTTTTCCAGAACCCAGAGCCAAATTCTATATCTCAGAGATGGCGAGCGCTCTGGGATATTTACACTCCCTCAACATCGTGTACAGGTGAGATTAAAGTGAAGAGATCTTTATTATTATTGATCAAACTGTTTGTTAATTATATCTAATATCAAGACTTATCAAACCACACATTGAAGCCATGAGGAGTGTATTGGGATGACCTGAAAACAAAAGCATATTCTACAGTTAATCAGAATGTATATATTTGTGAAGCGTGATTCTGAGGTGAGGGGGATTGAAGTGAACATTGTTATTAGAGATCTACTGTCATGCTTTATCAAACCACCCATTGTTTAAATGTAATAATTAAAGGGCTGTAACTCCACTTTTATGTTTGTTTTGTTATTTGAGTTTGAATGACCTTAAAACAAAACTATATTCTTCAGTTAATCAGAATGTATATACTTTTATGTTCTGATGGATCTGATTGGTCATTGTAGTCATGACACAAAACGTCTACATTATTCTGATTTGATCTGTGATATGGGGGGGGGGGGGGGGGGGTAGTAGTAATTTAGACTCTGCGTTTAATTCACTGCATTTTATTTATTTATCTTTATTTTCTCCAGAGACTTGAAGCCAGAAAACATCCTCCTCGACCAAGAGGTGAGTTTCCCTGTTTTTAACAAACACTGCTGCAGAGCCTACACAGTGCATGCAGGTGTGCTCATATTTAAAAAGCCCTATTAAGTTGGGACACTATGCAGGAGATCAATGAAGAGACCTCCCTATTTTAGACCAATATTCACACTCAAAAAGCACCTGTTTTAGACCAATATTCACACTCAAAAAGCATCTATTTTAGACCAATATTCACACTCAAAAAGCACCTGTTTTAGACCAATATTCACACTCAAAAAGCACCTGTTTTAGACCAATATTCACACTCAAAAAGCACCTATTTTAGACCAATATTCACACTCAAAAAGCACCTGTTTTAGACCAATATTCACACTCAAAAAGCACCTATTTTAGACCAATATTCACACTCAAAAAGCACCTATTTTAGACCAATATTCACACTCAAAAAGCACCTGTTTTAGACCAATATTCACACTCAAAAAGCATCTGTTTTAGACCAATATTCACACTCAAAAAGCATCTGTTTTAGACCAATATTCACACTCAAAAAGCATCTGTTTTAGACCAATATTCACACTCAAAAAGCATCTGTTTTAGACCAATATTCACACTCAAAAAGCATCTATTTTAGACCAATATTCACACTCAAAAAGCACCTGTTTTAGACCAATATTCACACTCAAAAAGCACCTGTTTTAGACCAATATTCACACTCAAAAAGCACCTATTTTAGACCAATATTCACACTCAAAAAGCACCTATTTTAGACCAATATTCACACTCAAAAAGCACCTAGTTTTAGACCAATATTCACACTCAAAAAGCACCTGTTTAGACCAATATTCACACTCAAAAAGCACCTGTTTTAGACCAATATTCACACTCAAAAAGCACCTATTTTAGACCAATATTCACACTCAAAAAGCACCTGTTTTAGACCAATATTCACACTCAAAA